TAATATATACTATATATTATGAATTATATAAATTTTATAATAATAGAAATAAAATAGAATAATATTATCAATATAACGTAATATGATTTAATTACTGATCTTCCCCTCTAATAAAAAAATAAGTCAGCCCTCCAAGAAATTACTCACTTGAGTATGAATTACGTCTGGAGACAGTGTCTTATTAAGCTGTGGATACATTTCCAGTCTGATGTTTAAAACACCAACAGAAACCTTTGATTCTGTACCTTTGAACCAAAATAAATTCTGATCAGTACTCTAAAATTCAATTTACTTAGGACATTTCAGCCAGACAGGAGCAAATAATTAAAATGTGAGCTATATAATCACAAAAAATAACTAGACTTCTTTAAATACATGCAAAATAAGCATCTTAATTTAAATTTCAAACTCAAATGAAGCTGTAAGAAAGTATCATCTGTCCAAAAAAGCAGACATCTAGATCTGAGATAGTTGTCCAAGGCCCCCTTTGCAGCCAGTACCAGAATGTAAGAGATGAATGGCATCCTAGAAATGTCTAGAATAGGCATCTAAAATAGAGAAGGAGTGTCACACACTGTAAAAGTGCCTATTTCTACTGGTTACACAGGTAGCTCAAATTTAAGTAGAGTAAGTGAAGTTCATCTTCTGCCAGATACAGTTTATTATGAAGTGCCATACAAATAGATTTTTTTAAAAAAGTAAAAAACACACAAAACAACAAACAAATGAACCACAAAAGCTCACAGACTTGATGTTGTTGCATAATGCTGAAAATTTAGATTTACACAGAGAACAAGAAGCATTACAAGACAATAAAGAGATGGGATTGTAAGCAACACAAGCAACAGGAGCCTCACATAGTGGTTTGCCTATTTATCTGAGACCGCAGCATGCTTCAATGCTCTTGATGCATTCGGTACAATGACAAGACTTTAGAAGAGGAGAAAAAGCACTGCATTTACTGGATTGAGACTTCATTACTTGTAAAATAGCTAATGAAAACTAGATTTACCTCCTCCCATCACCCATCTGAGTAGTAAACTCATTTGTTAGCATTTCCAAATCATTATAAATAAAAAGCTCTCCCTTTGAGAGACTATGCAAACCTGTATTGCTTACTAAAGTTTTGCCAATGTCAGCATTTTCAGAAGGAAATGTTGCTAACAAACATATTAGCATATAAGCTCATTAGATTTGTATTCACTGGATAAAACACTGCACCAAACAACCCCCCAAAAAGCAGCCAATAGTGACAACAATCAGGAATAATTTATGTAGTATATCCAATCTTCAAAACACTTTGAAGGTATAATTTCATCTCTTTTGAAACTAACAAGAACTGCTCACCTACCTAACAGGTAGAGAAACTGTGATACAAGACTACTCAAATGACTCAGCAGCTACTACTTGACCAAACTCCGGGACAGCAAGCCTAGTGAGTCATGACAGAGCAAGTCCTAGATCTAGTCTTTACCCACCAAATCATCATATCCTAAAAACTTAGGTTGGAATTCCTGAAAAAGGGAGTGGGGACAAGCAACAGACAAAAATACACAAATACACTAACTGCTAAGCACCTAAACAGTGCTGCTCAACCCTTCTGTGAGGCAATACTCTTCCAGCTACTGGAATAAATGGCAGCACAGCAGAGATAATTTCCTCCAGCAGTTGCTAATTTCTTATGAAAGGGACACAAGGTAGATTTTACTCTTCAGTGCAAGAGTCCGATATATTCCTGGAGATGAACTGGTTGCTTTTTGTTTGTTTTGGATAACTTATCCAGCTTTTACTGAAAATCAATAGTGGGAGTTCCCAGACATGAGGGCCATTATTACACAAGATCTGGAATATACATTTTTAGTATTTTGGTAACAGAAAAATCTGATCATTCGTCTTCTACACATTTTCTAAGGATACCTCATAATAAGTTCTGAATTGAACTAAAATTAAACTACATCATAAATACGGCTTTAAGCTTATAAAATATGGGGTACTGAGCTTGCTTAAGCCATCATTATAGCACTATTATTTATCCTTACCTACACCCAGGAGTTCAACAGCAACATTTGTTACGCCATTCTCTGCAGCCAAGACAGATCGCCACTCAAAGAAGTACGATGCTACAAGTGTTGTCTCACCAAAGGTGTCTGTTTTGATCAGAACCATGTGCACTGGATCACATATGGATAACATAGTGGTTGCATCCACCATTTTACTTCCATCACCTGCCATTATTAAACCAAGGTAAGATAGCAACAAGATTAACATTAAGTCCTACTCAAAATTAGAAGTACGTATTTACATTCATTGCATACATTGCATTTTAGGAAAAATCTTAATCCATCTTAAAATCAAAGTCAATTTAGGACAGAGATACAGTAAGATTACAGTGGATTTACTGAGGAGGTAAAAAGATTCCTATCGTTGAGTATTCCCATGTAACTGGTTCAACTGCACAAAAATTAAAATGGAATTAGCATTTAAGAAAATAAAGACTATTAAAGCACCATTAAGTATAAGTAATTGAAAACTATTAGTAAGCTGCATCAGGTCAACTCACTATACATCAGTATTTAGGAAGCAATTTCTTCTGTAGTCAAGCCTGACCCTATGATACAAGCGGCACAATTAACAAAACCTGGTTTTCTTTGACTCTGTGGTATGTGAGTCCCTTCCCCAAGTCCAACAGCAATAACTCTGGCTTTCTCTCTGTTTCCTGATGTTACATAAGCTATGCCGGATATCTACAAGAGTCAGACAATACCCAGAAATCTTTCATGACTTATTTAGCTCCTATCATGTTCCCTGGCTACCAACAAAAGAATGACAACACAGACTGTGGATGACTGACTTTTCCGAGGCAGGGGTTTGCCAGCTGGGAGGCAAACTGAACTCACACTGAAGTTTTCCCTTTCATGTGACAACAAATCACATTTCCCCTCTTCACTCATCAGCACAAAATTCACTAAAATCATGGCTGCTTTAGTATCTCTTTACAGTCTCTGACACTATCGTCTCCCTGTCAATTATGGATAAAGTTGGTTGAATTCAAATGTTGTTTTAGAACAGAAAAGAAGGAAGAGGCAAGAGTACAGAAAGATCCACAAGTGGCATAAGCTAATAAAGTGACCAGTTTCCTCAGGAAAACATGATGAAAAATAGGAAAGCTTTAAGCCCACAATATTCCTTACCTAGGCTATCCTTGTGCACTTCAAGTAAAAAGCCATCATGAAAATCTGGCTCGCAGGCACAGGGTACAGGTTTAGAACGAAAGCGTTGATTTCGAAAATGTAAACACAACGTGAAGGTAGAACAGATTTGGCCAGGCAGAGGCTCCGGTTCCTGAAGATGTTCCAGAAAAGCTTTTCCACCCAAAACCTGAAGGTAAAGATACCTCCGTGTTGGGTCAATGTTAGCTGTAAAGCGTAGCAATAAAAATGAAGAGACTACAAACGGATCTTAAGCAGCATGTTAAATATCAGCTAACTAACAGGAGCCTAGACAAAAAAGAAGCTTTTTTGAAACAAGTGCTTAGGAGAAAGTGATTTTAAAATGTATGGAAGATCTCTTAATGTAAAATAAGTGGGTTTTTTTAAAATTCAAATTTTATGCAACACTAATTTCTGCTGCTTACATGAATTAACTTCCTGCAGAAAAGGAGAAACATCCACCTTTATGCCAGTTCATACTGAATTACTGAGTTCAAAAATCACAGACTTCAAATTTCTCGCAAAACTATGATCCAAATATTAAAATAAGCAAGTAACATACTTTTTTTCAAAACTGGTGGCTCTCTGTCAACAAAATGTGTTGATGGTTTTGAAGCTGAAGTCCTCTCCTTTTCATTCACATCCTGGAATTACAATTAAGACTTTTTAAGGTGTCAAGGGATGCAACACTGATCTTTCTGCAGTCTTCCACAATTAAAGAATCCTCTGTTTCACCTGAATGCCATTCCTCAGGTATGCTCAAGCTGTACTTGAGATGTAATGAAACTGAACAAATACTTTCAATATCGAACTATCATTAAACTAATTTTAGCGTATGCATTAAGCTGTTCTGCTCCTCTTCTGTCACAAATCAGTAAAGCCATTACAAACCTTTAGAAGCAGCAAATTTTCACTTTGTCAAAGCACCAGGTCAGTAAGAAGAATAAGGCAAAGTATTTCCACTTTTCCAAAGCTACTTACAGGGACAAATTTGAGTTCCTTCATGACATCATCAATGATTCCTCGTTGTCTCAAGGCTTTTATCAGATCTTCTGTGGACAACTGCTGATGCTCAGGTGCTAACTCTTCACGTATAGTCTCAGCAAGAACTTCTCTTATCCTGCCATGGACATCCATCTGAAAGAAAATTCACTTTATGCTGGAAATAGCAGCTCTCTATATGGTAGCAGCTATGACTTATACAGTCACTCTGTAAGACTAAAGATAGTCTAAGAACACAGAAATAACTGCACCAAAATATGAATCCTTTCAGAACTAATCAAATGAGTCACTATCTCACCAATGCAGCTCTACCAGTTAAAAAAGATCATAAGCACACCAAACCTGAGCATTTTCACTGCTCTTGACAGCATCCCCTGCCCTGAACTTCTCTCCTTACAAAAGGTCTGCAAATCCATCAGTCACAAAATGGTCACTGTTTTGTCTTCCTCAAAACTCAAACTTAGGAAAGTAGTTTCTTATTTTTAAGGGAAAAAGTACACCTTTATACACTTGTAGGTAAGGCACAAAAGTAGCAAATCTCCGTTGCAAGCTTCCCCTACACTCCAAGGGAAGCCTGAGCACTTCTGTCCTCAGCTGTGAAACTGCATGGAGTTGTAAAGCTGCTTCTCATACAGGAAGGATGTTAAGGCCGCAGCCACTTGAAATACTTAGCGAGATTAATTACAACGTCTGTATTTATTTCCTTGTCAGTTCAAGACTCGGCCCAAGAACCTCGCTCAAAAAGCATCAAGGAAAAAACCAAACCACCACACAAAAAAGTCTCTGGGCGCTGACCCCGCCGCTCAGTCCGTAAGAGCCTCGGGCCTCGCCCCCGCCGACATCGCTGCTGTCCCCTCCCTGCCCTGAACGGGGCAGCGATACAGCCAGAGAGCAGAGGGGGCCTCAGCTCCATCCCTCCGTGGCGCAGGCAAGGGGGATGAGAGCAAGAAGGGCC